TTGCTACTTTCTTCATAGATTAACTCGTTGATTTTGTATGCTTGATAGCGGGCTGTTTCATGGCTTTGTGGGTATCTGTGAAGCTACAAAGTTTAACACTAAGCATAACAAATTCCATTGCTTTTCAGTACTCTGTCCACAGCAACGTCTTCTATTAAAACTCTACCAAAACCTCTACCAAACCCTACCTTTAAACTCCTGAATTGAATAAATTCCACATTTCTCTAAGAAGCCTATTCTGTTTTAATGTGAAACCTTAAAAGTATAAATTTATGAAAATCAGACTTTTAAGGCCTCAAAGAACCACAGATAATTTCATAATTTGTTTCACCTACCATGATAAATAGGCTAGCAATTTCATTCAGTTTTCTGTGGACCCTGCTGTACACTGTGTGCTGGACTGAGGCGGGACACAGAACCCACTACATCTCCTGGAGTTTGCACTAATGCGTGTTCTGACTCCCTGTCAGAACACGCATCTCTTATTTTTAATGAGAATTTGTTTGTTATCAATTGCAGTCACAGCTTCTAATGTTTTCTTTTTCATGGACTGAGGCTATCTCTGCTACTTTAGCTACTCTAATGAAGAACATCCTTATATTTTAGGAGACAATTTCCATCCCATAAAATCTCATTTAATCATAAAGTGGCTGAACTGTCTTAAGTGTCATGACAAGAGGTTGTCTCCAGTTCTCACATACTTTGAGGGGTTCTCTTTTGCATTCTTCTTTTTTAAAAAATTCTTTAAAATAATGATGATACCAGAAGTATCCCTCCTATTTTCACATATGCAAAACCTGTATTTGTCCTTGTGGCACAGGATGAGGTTAAGTCATGTTGAGCTACTTGTTCACTTTGACACCTAAATCTTTCCCAGATTTCCTCGTGCTTGCAGTGACACAAGTCCTCCAGTTCTGTTTCCTTAGCCTCCACCTTTGCTTCTTTTATTTTGTCTGTCCTGAAACCAAAAAGTTCTGGTTGATCCCAGTTTTTTGTAGGATTTGGGCTGCCTTGTTTGACTTCAATGAATGTTTTCTCCTCTAGTCTCTCTGGACCAAATAAGCACATTATTAAAATGTGCATACCCTACTGCCAATGGGAAAAATATATTTTCACCTCTCTGGAATTTACCTCGGATTCAGTTATTCTCCAGTGAGATTGTTCCCAGCGAGTAAAGCAGAGTGTAATAATGTCATGAAGACAGTTTAAACTACAGAAAAGTGAGCTCTTCCAAATGCTGAGACTGAGTGAAATCCCAGCCAAAGAACTCTGTATTTATCTTTTCGGGAGATACTCTTTACTGAGGTTTGAGACTATAGAAAAAAACCGGCTTATTAGGATTTTAAGAATTAAACAAAGATATAATGTTTACCTCTTTTCAGTGGGTCAAGTACCTGAAATATCTTATGTTGAGTTCCAAGGCTTCGAGTCTGTGAAACAGAATAGAAACATGAACGAATTATTAAGTTCCAAAAGACTGAATGACAAAAATGTATTATCATTTTTATGATCAGGCACTTCACGGTTTGTTCAAAGAGTGTACACGAGGTTATGACAGGGAAAGCTTGGATAGGGTTCAATAACTAATGGGAAAACAGTTAACATGTAAAGATCAGGCTTTTTTTTTTTCTCTTTCTTTCTTTTTTTTAAACCTACCAACCAAACAAAACAGAAAGCTCAGAAAACTCAGCAATTTGTGTTCATTTCTGTGGTGGTGCAACCCCCCGCCCCTCCCCTGCCTTTTGGCCACTTGGTACTTGGTGCGATTTCCTCCCCACCTGGGCCACATAATAATACAATGGACCAGAATGTAACATAATGGTCTAACATGAAAGAAAGAAAAGGTGGAGAACAACAGACCAGAACACAATAGTGTGCCTGGTCCCCATGGCTCCTACTGTTTGAAGATAATAACTATAATTGATCACTCCTGACAACATATGGATTGTGGCCACAGCCTGGAGAGGGGGGTTATACCAGGACCCCAAGACCTAGCAAGTTCTGGACTTGGGTAACTGGTGGGAAGTACCAGAATATTCCATTGTCTGAGCTGGGCTGGAGTGGAAAAGTACCTGACGAAAGTAAATTATCTCAGATCCTGTAAGTAGTGATTCTAGTAAAGACGCTTTGAGCTCTTCTGGATCGCAGTGGGCTGTGGCCAGTATCTCCCCTGAGTTGGGACACTGCTCAGGCTGACACCTGGAGGACTGGAAGGGCAAGGCGAGAGGATTCCTCTTGAACCTCAACTACTGCCCGTTGAGGAACGCCAATGCATCGTGAGTATTTACCCTAAACTCGGGAAAGGGAGATTTTGACTACAGACTATCCTCTCTTCCATCCACCTCTCCACCTATATGTTTGTGACAGACACATTCGCTTTATGGATGTGGATGTTCTTCTGTTTGTCTGTACATGCGTAGGAGTTAAAAGCGGTACCTGTCGGCTCATTACAGTCGCCTGTTATTAGAAATTCCTTATTCCGGCAATCAGAGACCTGTGTGTTTGTGTGTGCATGTGTACATGATTAATTTGAGATCTGTGCTTTTGGTGATATGGATATGTTTTGATTTGGAATACCTTACAGTAAGTTAGTGTGAATCTTGCCATCTTTGAAATTGTAATTAAGTTGCTGTTCAATTATTTTGCTCACTCACTTTGTAAACCTCTAAACCTGTTAATGATTAAGCGCTGCTAAAATTCAACCTCTTGATCTACCTTAAATCATTAATAAATTCTGAATTGCTGTTAAATCATAACTGTGTCAAGTATTTCCATCTGCGGCAACTTTGCAAGCTTACTGGTGCTCAGCATTATGAAAAATATTTAAGTCAACTTCCTTTTCATAAAAGTAGGAACATAACATTAGACTCCACTGTTTTCATCTAGGATTTTTAAGTGTTTGACAACTACAACAAGGCTCACATTTTCCAAATAGTTACATAGGATGCTGAACAGCAATAATGGAGAAGGGATGTCTTAAAAAAAGATTAGGTCTTATTCCAACTATTCTGACAATGACCTTTTAATAAACTTCATCGCACAGTAGTTGCTAGGCCAGCTAATGCTGAGTGCCAAATCACACACACTGAATGTTAGGAAGGGGCGTGATGCTGCTTTACAAATATTGCCAGCACACATATTTCAGAGCTGGGACTTGGTAATGATCCCAGGGTTAATTAAAAAGTTTACTGTCCATTTCCCTAGAATGTCCTGTGACCCTTCGCTTTCTCTTCTCTTCACAGCACTCTTCTGGACTGGAAAACACAGTAGAAAATGTTTTAATGGGTGTGGCAAAAATCTTGTCCAATGAAACTGGAAGTTAAACATGTCCAGCTGAGGCAGTGAGGTGTTAGTAGTTTTGGAGACTGAGAAGAGCTGGTATAATCTCCAGCTGTAAGGCATGTTCCTTGGAAGAAAGATCTAAGTGTATCAAATAATATATTCATGAAACATAACTTTACCGTTTTTTCCTGCCCTAGACTTGATGTTGATACATCATTCCTGGATTTAATAGACGATAAAGAGCAATGGGCATTCTGGGTCTGCAGCTTTTGGTGACAAAAGTGTGTGTCCAAAGTTACAGTGATTGAAAGTTGTCATGTATCAGTCTCTGGTCAGGAAAAGGGCACAACACGTTTCTCCTGGGATGAAAAATACTCACATTTTTGCTTTCATGACTTCTGTCCTTAGCAATGCTTTGAAAATGTTCTCCTGATATTTGGGGTTGTTTCTGCACAGAAAATAGTATGTAACCATTTTGATTCATGAGGGAGTATTATAGTTATGAAAAAAAAAAAGAGTTGCAATTAAACATGATAATCACAATGCCAGAAGGAACACATGTAAGCAAGCTGCTCAAGACTGAATTCCTTCTGCTGTTCTGTTCAGCAAATATTTATGAACCTGGACACAAACATATCATATTGACAAGGGACCTCACTTCCTACTCAAGTTTGGCTTGTTTATTTTTAGTCTGGGAACCTGGAAAGCCAGGCTTTCTCAGCAGTATTAATTGCCACTGCTCTGTTTTTCTGATGTCAGGGCTTCTAGAAAGAAAGACTGGCATAAAATGCAAAAAACCTTGCAAAGCACTGGTCTACCTATTGAACGAATGAAAGCATTAATAAAGCAGCCAGCATTATAATGTTTATGTACATAAAAATAATATTACCCATCAAAATATTAATGTGACTTCTTTCCAAATGACAGTTTGCTTTCTCTAGGAAACAATAACAATGCTCCTATTTTACAGCTGAGGGCTACACAGTTTTCTAGGCTGAACATCAGCTAAGTACGTTGAGGGCTATGTACAGCTCCAGCATGAACTTCTGTCAAAAACTCTACTGTACCTGTGATATTGCTTGCTATTCACCTTTTTCAAACGGGTCTAAGTACTTTCCATCAAGAGCAACAAAAGAAATTTTAGTAAGTCTTTTGATTTAATAACCTTAATTAGTCACAGAAGTAGATCCACATGGGAAAACGCACATAATTGTGAAAAGAAAAAAAGTTAAGAAACTTCTTGCTGGAATTGTGAAGTACTATTCTTTTAAATTAATTTGTTAAGCTCTTGTTACTTTCTTCACACAGTAACAGTATCACTCTGACGTGTTTTACTGCTAGTACACAACCAGCAAAAGCGCTTTAATTCATTGGATGAAAGATGCATGAATGTGATTCATATAATTTAATTGTATGAAAGATGTTTTTGCCTATGTTTCAGCACAGAAATTACAGAACAGGACCTAGTGAAGCTCCATTTAACTAACAGTTTTACAACATATATTGGTATTTATAGGTATTGGCAGGCGTAGCCTTAGAGAATCAGGCTCTTATGTGGCCAAAGCCATATTCAGTCCTAAACATGCTCAAATTTAGTCTATGGCTTAAAGAAAGCCATTATCAAACTTATTATTGCTATAACCCTATAGACTATTATGTTTTGCCACAGTAGGATGAACTGAGGCAGGAGAAAAGGCCTTGCGGGGGACTTTCCTTACCTCCTTGTTATGAACACAGTACTTCAAGAGAGCATCACAGAAATGCTGTCCTATCGACTCCAAGTCTTTCATATCGAAATGGGTGCTTTTTCTGCAGCCTGCAGCATCAATAGGAGCAAGACAGGAAGAAAAATGTCAGTCATCCTGCTGACTGCTAGGTATCTGTGATATTTCAGTGGCCAACTGCAAACTCACATATCTTTCACTAACAGATGACAGACAGGTCTATAACTACCGGAGTTTTATATAGATGATATCACAGATCATTATTCTGCCTATACGAACGAATCTATCCACTGAGAGGGGATTAACTATAGTGCATAGTTAACTGATTCCCTACTACAAAATTTCCTAAAAATGCAACTGGGTTTAGTTACTGCTTTTAATTTGCCATGTTTTTGTTTTGGGATACATATGCAATAATGCTAGTGGTGGCCTGAAAGGTTGCTAGTTGAATGCCCCGATTTTAGTGTTTTTTCCAACTCTTACCTTAAACCATCAGACAGAACACCAATAAGGGCAGGGTAGCTCAAGCCACCATTCTCCATGAGAAAACAAAAGTAAAGGTCTTGTTTATGATTCCTACTAAATAGCAACAGTGAATTGTCTCACCCAACTTAGAGCCACAGATAGAGGCTTCCAAAGTGTAGCTGTTGTTGATGCCCATCTTCCACATTACCACTCGACCTGTGCCTTCTTTGCTCTTTCGTACTCTGAAACGGCAGTCTGGGAAGGAGAACTTAAAAGATAGGTACAGCATTAGCCTTTGAAGTAAACAGGAAGATGCAATAATTTCATTTTAATCCTGCAAGTTTTTTAAAATCTTATCTACCAGGTAAACAATTGTGAGTTTTCACTCTACTTGAATATTGCACAACATAGCTCAGAGCATACTGTTATTACTGGTATAATGGAGATGTAGGTGAAATAACAGCCTTCTGATTAAAAGTTTATTTTACTTTAAGGATTTCTGAGACATCTGCAAATATTTTTTTATGTGGCTGTACTTACTGTTTCTAAACCATCCTACACAGACAGCTGACCAGCTGAGTTACCACAAATCCTGTTATATACCAACATGCGTATTTACTAAAAAGTTGGAATAGCTCTTTTCTCATGTGTTAAGAGACCAACAATTTGATGTAACTGATCAGGAGCTCACAACCACCTTAACATTGATATCTGAGGAAAACAGCATTAGCTCCAAGTATGCAATGGCATCTACTAGGTTAGTTTGTGTGGTGTTTTATTTCTGAGCCTTTGCAACTTTCTGGTTCAAAAGAAGCTTACTGCAGTTCGATTTTATTGGAAAATGATATATTTTAAAAACCGTCATTTCCTACTGAACTTTTTTTTTCCTAACTGAAATAGCTTACACAAACGTGGTGACTTTGACACAATTTTCAACAGAAGTTTTCAAAAGGATTCAATCAGGAGAAACATTTTTCTTCTTTAGTTCCTTATTTGCTCACTTGTTTGTTTTTAATTCTACAATATGTTTTAAATCTGCGTTTAATACACGACTAAAAAATACTTAATATTAGGTTTTGACATTGTTAAAACAATGTTACTTCGATGTTCTGTTTTTTTTTTCTTTAAAAAAAATTGTTTAAAAGATGCTAACTTTATGTCCCAATTCAGCATGATTCATTTTGGAGTGCTGGAATTTCAAAGGAATTAAAATTTCATATTCCTACCATTTCTAGTTTTAGCCAATTAAAAACTATTTTACTGGGTGAAGTGCAGTCTTTTAGTAAAGGTGATACCTTAACAAAAAATTAGGAATCCCAGATGGTGCTTGAATTTTTAGGTGAGGAAGTTTCTAGCCAGATGTTTGCTTACCTTATCTGGGCAGCTCTTGCTCAGCAAGAATGGGAAGATACGTGGATGCACGTATGGTGCTTTTGCTTGCTGCTTTCTCTCGCAACCATACATGAAGACATTTTGTTTCCTGTTGTGACCATGGATGTCGCAATACAGAAAAACATCGCGTTCCCCCATCACTCTGTAATATGGGACAACAGAATACTTCATTAAAAGTGCTTTTTTTTTCCTCCACCTCAGAAATAAGTCTGAGCTAATAAATTACACTGAAGCTCATGTGTAACCAAAGAGCAAGAAATCAATACAAGTTTCACATTCTGAGCTCCAAGTTAAACCTTGAGTGAGCTAGATTAGAACCAAACTGCTCAGTTCTCTCCAGAATAAAACACTTGTCACTGCACAGAAATAAGATGCAAGTGTATGCATCATCAGCCTTTGTCCATGGGTTCGTTCTAATTCTCAGACTCGGTTATATACACCCAGCTCTGCAGATGTGTATACAAGCATCTTGTACAGCTGAAACCTGCTATTCTTACCTGCTGCTCCTTCACTATTGTACATGTGTTGAATAATACATGCTGTACAATTATGAGACTGAAGCATGAATGGCAGTGAATATTATTTACTTTATCAAACTGGAGACATCAATTTTTATGATGTGCCAAGGTTCTGCAAGTATTATTACTTAACTAATTTTTAGAGAAAATTTGCAGGTAGACACATTGGGGTTTAGCAAGCCACACCTGATGCCCAATTTGTGTCGAAGTAGAGCTCTATAGGGAAGATGTGATGACACCACAGCTTGTCACCTGGAGCTTTACACTGGGCAGGAGTTGGAAAACCACAGTGGAACTAAGAAGGAAGCAGTAATAAACATATCTGTCTCAGCTGATAGTAGCTGAATACGAGGCTGAAGGTCAGTAGCACTTCAGCAGACGTAATTAATATTAATTCCAGGGCACTCACAAGTGCAGGCTGTCTCCATATAGTAAGACAGAGAGAGGAATTCTCATGGAAAAGAAGGTGAGGTTGCAGTGCTCATACCCTGTAAGGGATCTACATGCCAAAACATTCATTTGAAAGAACACAGATCTTATTTAAAACAGGCTGTATCTAGATGAAAAATATTAAATGTACTAATTCTGACACTGGCTTTTTCCACAAGAGTCTTGTTTGCATTAATTTGTTGCAGAAGTCAAACCAGAGGGATTAGTTTACTGAAGGTTTAGTTTAATACCGGAAGGCTTAGTTTTATATCCAATGTCTCTATGACTGGAAGCCTGCATAAAAAAATCAAACATATTTGTAGCAAAACATACAGCAAACTTGGCAATCTTTGCTTCAAATGGACATCTGGGATCTATTCTCAACCTAACTTCATTCTGGGATGTGGTTGTATGCCAGAAAAGAAATACATGAGAGAAATAAGAAACTTGAGAAGTAGATTTTGGCAGAGGATAGTGGGGAGAAATATGCTGAAAATGTTTTGATGAAAACTCTTTTACTCTGGAGATATAACTTACTACCAGGGATGGAGAAAGGGTATTAAAGGAAAACCTGAACAATACTGAAATAAAAATAACCCACTCTGAAATGCAACTGAACGTAAACAAAACAGTCAGAAAGGTTTGGGTACAGGGCAAAGATGTAAACAATACCAAAACACAAAGGACAGAGAAGTTACACTAACAAAGAGACAGTGGAAAGGAGAATCCTCTATTCTAAAGGTAAAGAAAATGAGGTTACCTTTTGATCATGTTTCGAGTATACCAGATGGAAGGATAACATTTCTTCACATCAGATCTGTATTTGCGGTTCAAGTCCTGACCTGTTAAAGAACAGCGGTGATTTCCCACAATCACACCATCGGGATTCAACATGGGTACCACTTTGAAGACAAAATTGTCCCGCAGCAGTTGAGCTTTGCCTGAATCGCCAAGAATGTAATCCAGAAAGCCCTTCATTATCCAGGAACTGTTAGTTTCTCCCGGATGCACCCTGGCGGTTAGTATCACAGCCTTCCTCTCAGTGCCCTTGCCACTTTTGGGGTCGTGGGTGATAGTTAAAACATATACTATGTTTCCTGCCAGTGAATGGCACAAGATGTCAATCTTGCAGAATTTGGACTTCACTGGATCTTTAGAGATGGCCACCAGGTACTCCTGCAGGTTGGAGTAGGTGTAAGGATAGCAGTGGGCAAAGTAGCAGGTGTCTCGGTCATGAGGGAACTGGAATGTCCAAGTGAGTGAGAAATACTGACGTCTACCTTGGCCCGCATTGTTTTTGTAATACTTGATTTCATTTCCAGTCCTTCGCCAGCCAACCTTGTGTTTCTTAGCATCGGCTTCTGAGTACAACAGTGGCCGCAGGCCTCGTTTATATAGGCTGTTACGATTGGTAAAGTTGACTATAGTGAAGCGATATGCCATCCCTGCCTGCATATTGCTTACTTGGAAGTAGTACCATTGCGTGTGTCTGCTTGTGTAGAGGTCGGTGCGCAGGGTCAGCTGATACTCAAATTCATTGCTAGTAGGCAGAAAGAAGAGAAATAGTTGCGATGCTGGTTAGCACTGTAGTATGAAGCAGTGTCAAATAATGAGGACTGCCATGAAAAAGCACTGTGCAGTGAATCAGGTAGGTGCAAATCCAATTTACACCGTCATAAATCAAAGTCTACGCAGCTGCCAGGAAAAAATGCCTAATCACACTGAGGGTGTCAGTAATGCAACTGCTGTCTTCATTAGGACTTTTAACAATAACTAGGACTTCTAGAAATGTTCTCCACACTATGCTTTAAAAGGAGGTGCTTAAAAAAACGTGTTGAGTTTGTGTGGATGATTATCACCTACAGAAAACGTTCAGTGCTATGGAATGGCTATCAGACCATATCATGTGAAGGTTACCTGAAACTACTTTTGAAGCTTATTCAACTAATGTAAAACAAGTCACAAACCCGGAGTAAGACACCCTGCTCAGAAACTGATAGCAGGCTGCTCATAATAACCACTCTGATAATAACTCCATCTTAATAAAAGTAGAAAAGATTAGAAACTTACACTTTGACCACCTTCTGCAAATTCCCACTCTCAAACCGTGCTTCGAAGACCAGTGTGTTGTCCTCTGTCTGGTGGAGGATCTGCTTCAAGGGGCAGAGACCTCGCACTCGGGAATACATAAAGCAGGAGTTTTTGTTAGCTGGGGGAAGGAGCAGAACAGATGTCTTTCATTTCAGCCTGAGTCATTTTAGAGAATACCTGCAAATTCTGAAAATTCCTTCTAGAAACAGACAACTGCATGGAGCTGAACTTCAAAGCATATCTTAGGTAAGCGTAAAAGAAATTACACAAAGATTTTGCTGCCCATTCCCACTTAACCTTATGGATGTCAGCTAGCTTAAGATCTGACTCTGTCTTGGCGGTGCCTGTGTCTCTCTGCACGAGCAAAGGGCAATTCACACTCTGTACTTAGGCCAAGCAACTGAGTTAGGTGGAAAGACTCTAGGACTCAGCTCCCCCAGTTCTTTTCACCAGTCAAATGGGCAACTTCTCTACTCAGAAATCACATGTAGCTGACAACTCTTGCCATCAGTTTGGTTTTGAATCTCTGTATTCAATTATTTTAGTCTAGAAGTACAAAAGATGACACCCAGATGCAGCAGCAATCACTTTTGTATTGCAAGTGATGTTTTCACATCACATTTAGCATGCAGTTTGAGCCCATATCTCGTTTTGCTCTCTTCTGCTACTTTGTCCTCAGATGAGAGGCTCACAGAGGTATAACTGAACTTTTTACTACAATCTTCATTGAATCACTGTTGCCATATGCAAAAGATGCCATATTCAGTGCATTATTCTTCATGATTGAAGCTACTACAGACCCATAGCGGTTTTCATCAGAGAAGGGCTGTTGGCTTTGCTAGCTAGAATACCCAGTTGAATAATTACTTTCTGTTTGGCTGAAATCCCATTCACAGTTTCTCTATCTTTCCCATGCTCTTCCTTAACATTGAGGAAGAAAAATGTATCAGTAGTTAATCCAGTAAGACTGTTTCTGGAAATACCTGTACCAGTCAAATGCTAGAGAATGAAATGCACAAATAATATCCGAGATCTCTGTCATGGTACTTTGATGTTTCTGCATGGGAGTCATCATTGGATTCTATTTTGCTCTCCCAAATCAGATTTTAGGAAGGCCTGTAGGAACTCAGCAGCAGGTAGT